GGCGAGGTGATTCGCGCAATATATTGGCAATTGTAATGAGTGTGACAGAGGATGGTTTCTACCGACTTGGAACTTCTGAAGGAATTTTAAAACAAGTATATGCGAGATCACAATTCACTCCATGCCCCAAGAACTTGCTTAGAATTGAAGATATTCCTGACCATGAAATTCCTCTCCGGTCAGTTGCAATTGCTCAGTCCAGTGGAAGCGGCCAAGGATTCGTCAAATGTATGTGTAAAACAAAGTGCCAAAATATGAAATGTCTTTGCGTGAAAAATGTAATGAAATGTAATTCAAAATGTCATTCAAGCCTACCATGTTGCAACAAGTAGGTTAATTGTAATTTTTTATATGAAAATTTTGTTTCCCTTAATAAGAAAGGCATAAATTTTGTTTTGTACAACTTTCATTTTTCTTTACGTATTTTGAATAAATTTTTTTAATGGCACTCTCATTATTTTTTCAGAATAACATTTGTATTTTTGAGGAATGCACGTCATTTATATAATAGCCTTATCAGAACCTTTTTTCATACTTTGCCTAAATAGCATTTGTCATTCTATAGAATGCCTAGGTATTATATACAATGCCTAGGGAAAGTATGTAATAATTCTCATATTTCATAGATTGCCTAAAAACGCCAGGCATTATATACAATGCCTAGGTATTCTATAGAATGCCAGCTTTTCATACTTTGCCGGTAACATATATATAAAAAAAAAATTATACTTTAGAAGTTAATCTAGTATCAAAAATGTTTGATTCAGCATGACACAGTCCGACTGGAACACTTTTGGTTAACCAAGGTTTCGGTTGATCGGCATTCGGATAATCAATGCTCTACTGTATGTATATATATATATTGAAAACTTTAAAAATTCCATATACAGTAAGACCCTGCTTAACAGTGATTCAATATAACGCAGTTTGCTCAAAGCCTAAAAACAAGCTCAAAATTTACACCAATTCAAATTATCGTGTATTTCATTTATTCATATATAATACAATTATTCCCAAACACAAACCAATCAGCAAAAGGTGGCAATTCGTCATAGCACTGTACTTTCCTTAAATCTATGTTTGTTTGGGACAATTTTGAAAAAATATAACATTATGGATGCCATAGGCATTATCAACTTCACTTGGCAAGAATTAACTGATAAATGCATGAACGAAGTGTGGAAAAAGGTATGGCTGAAGGTATCCAAGAATTCTCAACAAGAGCCTATCACGGTATCTTTAGGTTGACCAAATTGTCAACTTAATCAATACAGCAGGACAAGGAGATGTAGACAAATAGGTTATTGAGGAGTTACTGCAAATTTAGGATGAGAGCCTTACTAATGACGACCTTCAAGAACTGGCAGAACAAGGAATTCATATAGAACTGGAAACTAGTAATTCTGAAAATGAAGAACCCAAAGAATTTCTCTACAGATTTAACTTAGTAAAAAGTTTGGCAACAATAACCAAAATTGTTGATCAAATTGTAGCAAATGATCCAGATTTTCAAAAGAGTGCAAAAGCAAGAAGAGGCATTTTGGATGCAATCTCTTGCTACTAACCTTTAATTAAGGAAAGAAAAAAACTGAAAAATGAAATTACATGAATTTATCACAAAAAACAAGAATTTCAGAAGAGCTAGGATCTTCATCACAAAAATGAACTTTAGATTTCTGTGTGCATACATTTGTGTGTTAGTTAACATATACTATTATGCAAATTAATGTAAAAATAACTTAAAATTAAAGTAAAATCTGTTTATTTTTGGTTGAGTGTTTCCCTTTTCCTATTTACTCTGTGTTAAAATGACTTTGTATAAGTTGTTTCATTTAACACTTTGTCATCTAGGAATGTATCCTCTGTGTTAAGTGGGGTCTTACTGTATATTATGTTCTAATTCATAATGAACACAGAATGATTTTGTTTCCTACATGTAAACTAACAAGCATTTACCCCATTCTTATTCTGGGAAAGACTGTAATTTTATACTTTTTTGAACACTTAACTTACTGATACATAAGTGTCAATACATTAAATATTTTTTAAAGTATTCAAGAAACTTTAAACATATTTAATGGAAATTTAGATGTCAGATGCAATGTCAATATAACTTATATATAAATTGCTATTAAATTTTTCAAGTCAACTAATAAAACAATTTTGAAATTTCAGATTAAATACTACTAACAAAGACAAACTTATATATATATTAAGGATAATCATTTTAGAGGCAAATTTATAGAAATATTTATTTACATTAAATTTTTCATACAAATCCAAAGTTTTAAAAACTGCTAAATATAGCTAATATAAGAGTTTTTTTTCCAAATATCTATTCTCTATCAAACAAAAGTTCACTAAAAACAGAATCAAATTAAAACTTAGCTTTTAAATCTAGTGTTTTATAATTAATGACTAAAATAATATAACTGTAACAATGAAAAACTAAATCTTCCATAAATTGTAACATATTTGTTATGTAAATTAAATTATAAACAGAATCAAAACATATATTAACTATGTGATAGCTTCAATATTAAAAAGCTGCATAAAAGTAATTAGATAAGCATTACTGAATTAAAAGTTAAAGGAATTTATAGAATTTACTTTACATTATTTAACATGCTTACTCCTCCTTCTTTTTGTCCTAGTGCTAGTCTTTGTTTGGCTCTTCGAATTCTCTTCTCCACATCAGTTAGCATGCCTTGACAAAATCTTAAAAATTCATCTTCATAATGTGATTTCATGTAATGGTTTGATTGCTCGTATCTAAAGATATTACAAATTTTACACATACAGACACACAAATAAATAAGTATATATATATAATTTATATTATTATACACAAAGTAATTCAGTATGTAATATTATCATTACTATATAATTATATTAAACAATATCTATAACAAATTAACTAAGATAATATTAAAGGTAATTACTTTTTGTTATTTATTAAAAGTAAAAAAATATCATCAGTAAATTTGGTAAATTACTATTACAGAAAATTTAAAGAACCAATACTATTCATTAAATAGAAATGTTTTTAATATTGTGGACTGATTGCTTCAATCAGTACTAAACACTGCACTGTAAGTTTGCATACTTGGATTTCGAAAAGTATAGTGTACTTCTAACTTTTCAAACATTCACATTAAATTACATTTTACTCTTATGATTTAAACAAAGATTGTTGACAATGAAGGTATTAAAAACGAATTAACTATTATGATATTAAAAATATGTAAAATATCAGCATAATATATATAAATAACACCTTATCTTTGCCAAGAAATATATTTATTTCCAAAACAAACGTTTTCAGCCTGATTTACAGGCCATCCTCAGGTTAAGAATGAAATTTGAATTAAAGCATTCCACCAATAGAATACAAAATTAAAAATTAAATAAGCAACAGAATAACATAAAATAAAATTAACAAAAAAGTATATAACCAATGGAGTAACATAAAAATATAAAATATGTACAGTACATAGAAGTATTAAGAAATACAATTACTAACACATCCAATAAAATTACTATTTTAACTGGTTAGAGCTCTTAGTAAATTCTTTAACCATAAACTTCCATGCAGAGGGAAGACTCTCAACATCCCTTGCATTCAAACTTGGGATTTTCAAATCTTCCGTTAAAAATGTATTTTCAACAGTTATTAATGGTCCTAACCATCATTGCAATGATTTTAACAGTGGTTTAAACTTTTTTCCGTTGCACCTGGTCTCTGTATTTCGATTGTTTTAGTTTTTCCATTGTTACAATTGACTTTCTGCTTTTCATTGTCTTAACTTTTTAGTGACCATTTGGGTTTATTCTGGCTAACTTGCTTTTGTGGTATTAGGGGGTTACTGGTAAGGTTAACGGGGTGTCCTGGCCACTTACAGTTGGCCACAGCTTACATATTAGTGTAAGTTAGTTGATAAGTTTTGTATATTTTGGGGTAGGTTTGTAGTTTAGTCTATGGGTTTATTGGGGTTACTGTCTGGTTAGATAGATCCTGGAGGTGATAACAACACCAGAGATGGTGATTCGAGAGCAGAGGTGTCGCTGGAACCACTTGAGGACCAGGTTCTGAAGGAAGCTTATTTTATTAGGAAGGATTATAGAAATCTGTCCAGTTTCCAGAAGAAATTCCCCAAACACTAAAGTTAGAGGCGAAATCCGGGATATGGTTTCAAAACTTTATGGGTGCGTACACTAACTCTATGGGGTCCTGAGGGAACTTAGAAACCAAAGAATCGACTCTAGACCTACATTGGTCACACCAGCAATACAAAGCTATGCCGAGACCGTAAAGGCCCCAAGCAATCTCAGTGTTACCACAAGAAATATTACTAAAATCATCAAGGAGAAAATCAACAAGGAAGGGACGTGAGAGGAAGTTGCATTACTACTGTACCCACAAGAGGCGAGAGAGGGTAGTTCCACGGACATGAAAGAGATCACTCAGATACTGAAAGAAAAGATAGAGCCAAACAAATTGGGTATAGGGGTCTGCTCTATTAGAGGGGTGAGCGGTAACAGGATATGTATCAAAGTTTCCTTGTGCAAAGACGGGGAGAAATTAAAGTGTGCTGTTGAGGAAATTCTAGAACTGGCAACCAAAGTCAGGACTAAGGTTGCAGAGGGAAGACGTCCAAAAGTCATAATGATCAACGTGCCAAATTACATTGAGGAGGAAACTATTACAAAAATACTTTATGAGCAAAACCAGATTTGGCCAGAAACAAGTTTAGATGATTTTCAACAAAAGTGTAAACTCATTACAACCCTTAAAAAAGGCAATGTTAGAGATGGTTGTAGGCATGTGATATTGGGTGTGGCCCCTCTTATCAGGAAAATTCTGGTTTCAAATAGACAAATCTGGCCTGGGGCAGTGTCAAGGTTGATGACTTTGTTCACATAGTTAGGTGCTTTAAGTGCAGTTGTCCTGTGCAAAATGGTTGTAGCTTTAAGTGGCTACAACCATTTCGCACAGGAGTTTTGGAATCAACAGCAGTGTAGCCACTGCACGGGTGAACACTGCTACACCGAATGCAAAAACAAAGTCAAGCGGCCAAAATGTGTGAATTGCCAAGAGACTAATAAAAACTTGCAAGATGGTAGGAGGTACAAGTCACAACGCCTTTCAGGCAAGGTGCCCAGTTTTACAGAAAATATAAACAGATCGCTGTCAATAATGCCGCAACACGGAAGTGTTCTATATTTAATTTCTAAGCGCTGGCATGAAGTGAACTTTACTTTCATTCATGGAAACTACTAAAAAACACTTCCTTGCTTTATTGGATACCAGAACGTCGCGGTTGAGACAAAAAGCCCAACTTTGGTTTTTTATTAAAACATTGAAAGAACGGACTCATCCCCAAGTGCATTTCTTTTAAATACAAAGCATTTCCAATGGAAGTTCAAACTCTATTATCTCGAATGGAACGAAGTCTCCTAGTAAGACTTATTAAGAATAAACGCAGAATGATATTAGAAGTAGAAGATAATATGTACCTGGCCCACTTCTTCTTCGACAAGCAGTGTGATCCATCTATTCTGTACCAACAACTGGACAAGATAAGATATATTGCTAACAAAAATGCACAAGAAGTCAGGAAGAAATTGAATAGTAAATATTATTGGTTACAGAAAACGTCCTGCCACAAACAAAGTAAAATCACTGAAATTCCATATTATAATCTTGCAAATGCACCAGCAAATATTCATCAAATAATATCACGAGGTCCGAAACATATACTACTCCAACGTTTGATTATGCACAACTCATTCCTCCCACCATTGCTGCTATAAAGAACACTTGCTGTCCAGAATTGCAACCTAAATTGGAGCTTTCTGCAATAACCAACATAGCATCAAAACAAAGTTCGAAATCCAGCAAATCAAATGCACAAACTGCTCGGATAGTTAAATCGTATCTTACAAGCAATCATTTAAATCTGTTGGTAACAGATAGAGATAAAAGATTTGTATTATGCAAAAACCAGGATTTCCTATCAAGATCCGACACCAACTATACTAAGAAAGATCCGACACCAACTATACTAAGGAAGACACGTAAGATTATTGCACTCACAGGGGTAACAGCTTCTTTAACTGGTTCTCTTAATCCACCAACGAACATTGCTTGCCCAAGATTATTCTTTGAAGTGAAGACACACAAACCTGCTTGGCCTTTAAGACCATTAATTAATAAATGCTCCCATCCTACATATTTCCTCGAGACAGCACTGGCAAAACATATCTCTGCTTTAGTACCTCCCTCCAACTTGGTAACCAATGCCGTTTTAAATGCTAAAGCCAACATTGTAGCTACACTAAGTAACCTTCCCACTAATTCGTACCGGTAGTACAAAATAGACGCTATTTCATTATATCCATCGGTACCACATTTTGAAGCTGTCATGCTTGCTAATGCACTTCTACTGAGTTCTGGGCATCCCATATAACATGTATTACATTTGCATGAGTCTCTTTTATTTATCACAGAAAATAACTATTTTCAATTCAATGGCAAAATATACAAACAAACCGAGGGTGTACCAATGGGCTCCCCTTGTCACCTATTTTAACAGAACTCATCATGAGGAATATAGAGTATCGTATTTTCCATGCACCTTTAACAATCCACTATCCTATCTTGTATCTAGGATACATTGATGATATTTTGCTTGCATGGGACGGCTCAGCAGAAGATTTAGACAAATTTATTCAAATACTAGCTTCAATATATCCTTCTATCAATTTCACTGTAGAAGAGGAGCAAGATAATAAAATTTCCTTTTTAGATTTAGAAGTGCATAGATCTCTGGAGTTAACTTCTCCGGTGCACCACAAAAACAATAGAGGGCCAGATATTATCCCTGTAACAGCTTTCCAGCCCTCAAGCTTCGTTAACTCCGCTATTACTTCGTTTATTCGGAGAGCGCTCCTCATTCCATCCTCCCAGGCATTAATTAATGAAGAATTACAAATTATTAACAGAGCATTGCGCAATGCCAGATATTCTAATTCCAAATATCGATATCTCTACAACCGGGTCATAAACAAATTGTTTCCAAAATCTTTTCTCTGCAACAAAGAAAGCCTAAAGATAATAATCCCTCCAATACCGTACTTGGGCACCATCTCACTAAAAATAACACGCATATTCAGGAAGTATGGTTTTATATTACCTATAACTCCTCAACCATCACTATGAAGAACATTGTGCAATGATAGAGACACTCTCACATTGAATGAAAAATCGGGGGTTTATAAAATTCCATTAAAACATACAATATCAGGTGAGGAAATTAGCTATATTGGAGCTACCACCAGAATGATATGGTCCTGCATCTTCAAACATCAAGAGGACATTAGAAATAACAGATCAGGTACAGAATAAGCGAAAAAGGTTATAGACCAAGATTATCTTCCACTTTGGAACCGCATTAAATTATTTAAGCATTGTAATGATCGGAGGCAAATATTCATATGGGAAAACCTTTACATATCTGCTGCTTTGCCGTGTAATGCGCCGACATTGGAAATACCATAGCTATGGATAACTTTATTTAAACAATCCAAGTTATAATTTTGTGATCTGATTTTCTTCCACTACCATGCATGGCACCATCACTCAGTATTTATATGTTTTGGGGAGTTCACGTTATTACAGCATGTTTCTTTAAAAATATTTAATTATTCAATTTTTACTAATTTGTTCTATATTCCAACCACGTGCATTACGTAATTTGAAAAGTCCGTTAACAGCTGTCAATTTGAGAACAAAGGTATTCAATTTTGCCTGAAGATGACGGTTGTAAACCGTTGAAAGTACTAGTGAGTATATCTGAAATTTAACAGATTGCTGTCAATAACACCGCAACACAGAAATGTTCTATATTTAATTGTATTTCTTAATACTTCTATGTACTGTACNTTGCAAAATTGTAATTAATATTTTTTGTGTAAAATTCGTAATTTTTGTGTTTGATTTTTAACACGTTCACAGTGTCAGTAGATAAACGTTTAGGCAGCTGCTGGGCATCTGTAAAGAATGTTCCAGACCTATTTGCATGGAACATGCAAAATTAGTATGTGAAAAATGCCAGAATTCACAATTTCAAATTTTAACTGAAGATGATTAATTTTTATGCCTTAATAGATAATTATATTATGTGCCATTAAAATTAAGCCAAAATACTTAGATTATGGTTAGATTACGTCATGATTTCCAAAAGAAAAAAAGTTTTTATTTTTGTTAAAAAACATTACTTTTTTGTTATATTATTGTGTAGTTGTGTGAATAAATATTTCATGTAAAGCAATGATTGCTTTATTTCAAATAATGTCTTTTATAAATCTATTATATATACACACTAAAATAATATTCATATTTTTTTTAAACAGACCATACAATGTAGTGTTTTATTTCAGGGTCTTCTGGATCCCACAAGGCTCACAGCATTATTTTCTTCACCAAGCATGCAGAAGAATAATTTCTCCCAAAAAGCTATTACAGTAAAACCTCATTATTTTAAAACTCAAAGGACCAAAAACACAACTTCAAATTATCTGAACTTTTTTCAAATCAGTTTTTTTGTAATTCTTGAATAAAATTATGACATTATCTTACATAATTTCACCCATTCATTTACAAATGTTTTAATATTTCTTGTTATTACTTATAATTTAAGCTATTTTGAAAAATCCATCAGTTGGAGTGTACTTAATGAAAACATAATCAGATTACATTCAAAGTAAAACCTGAAAATAACATACAAAACAAGCTTAACTGCTTCAATAAGAATTACCACAAATTGTCTTGAGTTTGAGATTACAAAAATCATCTGGTCTGATGAAAACAAGCTCTATTAACAGCTAAAGCTCTAAGTATGCATTGTATCGTGAATACAGTGTATTTAATGGATTTCAAAATTATTGAAACAGTAGATTTTTGAGGAAAATGCCCAAAATAAATAAATGCAAAACAGATTTCTTCCATAAAAATAAAAAAATTTTTCTTCATTGGCAATGCATACAATGTCCAAATGACCTTGAATAGATATCCAATGAATTAACAATACAAAATTGGTAAAACTGAAACCAAAACTGATACTTGGGCATGGAAACTTATAAACATGTAATATGATGAAAGATTTCAAATTAAACAATATTCTTGAGGGTCATAGAACCAGATAATGACTTCAAATTTCATTTTATGTGTATTTCAAATTATCCAAACTAAAATATATGCAAAATCCTATTTTCATGACCAGGGAGTAAACTTGACTTTGAATTATCAAATATTGAAATAACAAAGTTTTACTGTATTTTGCAAGCCACTTACTATATATATTTAAACTGTCCTCAGGCAAATTTACATGTTTGGAGACTGGAGTTGGCTTGAAAGCCAGATGTTGCCCACCACTGATATAAAATGCATAAACAAGAATTCATGCAGGATAAAAATACATTAAAATTTTAGATGATGTATTCCTTAATGAATAAGTAATTATTCATTTAAGGAATAAATCTTCAAGTTGGCTTTTTTTTTTTTTAATAAATTTTGCATGAATATATATAGTGTTTTAATTTTAATTTTTACATATATACTAAGAAATGTGTTCTTCTTTTAACATAAAATCATAGTATATTAAAAATCACTTAAATTAAGATCATATATATTATAATTCAAGTAGAGATCCATAAATAACAAACTTGCTATATAAGGCAGTTTGCAAGACCATATCAAGTAAAAGGCTTTATAGAAATTATAAGTCAATGGCAATTTATGGTGCCATGTCTAGCCACCACACAGTTATGGTTTCAATCCAATTACAGTAGACCCCCTATAATACGGGTTCCTATAGTTTGAATTCCTATAAGACAGCAAAAAAATTGTGACAGTATTTGTACAAACACGCTAAAAAAACTCCTATAATTCAGTAAAACGTTATCGCTGACTCGTGTTGCGACAGGATTGGTCAAATCTAGACCAATAGCGGATATTGCACAAACTGCTGAGTTTAAACGAGCAGCAGACCTACTAAAAACCATTTATTATTTAACGTCCATAAAAATTATATTTATATTAATGATGTCTCCAAAGTTCAGTGAATTTTTCGCAAAAAAAAATAATTTATCAGGAAGCACATGAGCGCCACTTGATGACAAGCTCCACGACGAAAACAAGCTTAAGCAATGGCGCCGTCAAACGGTGCATACTCGTTAAGTAATCCTTCAATTTTTTGTTTATAGCATAGTTTATATGGATTATTCCCAAAAAATTATACATATTTTGGAAATGTTGAGTCAAATTAGTCTAGAATCGATTAATTTTATGGAAGAAACCTTTCAAACAGCCGTAGTCGTAAACTGCATATGTGCCGAGCTATGATTGGCTGGACTCGTAGAAAATGGATTCATAAAAACCGGTACGTATCTACCATGTTATAGGGGGGTCAACTGTATGTGAAAAAGAGTCTTAAGCTTAATTTTCAGTTTCTAAAATTCAAAATTGAACAGATCTAATTTCAATATTGTTCTTAATTCAATTTTTAAAATTTATCAAATTCATTTTGATAATTTAAAAAAAAAATTAGAGTTATCATCAAAATGTAATGGTATATCTATTTTTTATATTAAGTATCCATATTTTTTAATACTGATCTATACAGTAAACATTTTATAAAATAAATCTGATCTCCTCTACTTTTAAATATTTAAATAATAATAAAAAATTGAATAAGCAATAACTTACTCTTTCTTCATATTTTCATCGTGTATTTTACTACAAGGTCCTAAATCTGCTTTTGTATTTATAAAGAGTTCGTTAGGGCAAAATTTCACTAAAAAATGCTTGCATACCTGTAATAAAAACTATTTATTAGAATATTAATTTGAACTAAGTATTAAATTCTTGTTATCTTTCCAAAATATTCAGACGTTCTAACATATATAAGATAATTGGTTAATACTCTTATTTCCATAGAGAAGTGAAGAGTATTATATACCTAGGAGATTTTTATACAATATATTAAATATTTATAAAAAATATACTATATTTGTATAATAATATATTAAGTATTGGCATATCAACTGCACAGCTTCTATAGTTTTTTCCAAATTTATTTGAACAGCCAAATAATTTACAGAAGTTTAGAAATAAAATTAGCATGGATCAAATTTCAGCCTATAACATCTGCAATCTGAGCTTTTAAAATAAGTTATCATCATATATGCAAATATTTATATTACAGATTTGATGTTGACATTTTGTTGAATCAATGTATTTATTTAGTACAATAGAAGCCTTTTGTTATAGTCACTTTGAAACCTGTCTAAACTGATAATAGCAGCCTACTAATAAAATGGAGCATGCCTGGAAATGAATTTTGGGTCTCTAAACTTGCTCAAATCTGATCTTTTATTAAAAAACATATCTACTGAAATAGATGCAAAAACATTAAAAGATAGCAATACAATATTTGAAATACAATGGAGGACAAACTAAGGTTTAATTCAATCAACTCTCATAGATTCTATTATCAGCTGTGTTCACCAACTCAGCGTAAATCTGGAATAAGATTTAAACCAAGAGTTCAGTTAAAATCAATCTTCACTGTGCATTAATTCTTGATTTAACTTTCAAATCTTAATTGCAATTTAACTTGTTGCTACTGGTAAGTTAATTCTCAAATTTTAGATTAAAGTATGCATGTGCTATGTGAATTTCATAAAACAACAAACATTCTATTTTCACAATAACTTTGTTAAGCTCTGACAGTTGAAAATAAGTAATGATACTATGGTTGATAGATAAGCAATCAATTTATGTAAACAATTATCCATCATAACAGGATTTCCAGTTTTAAAAATTCTACCCTCTTTTCTACTTAATCTTTATTTACTTTAGTTATTTTTTAATTTTTCATAACAAAATAACAATTGCTTACTATTTTGTCATAACATAATTCACTGGTAACTGCTATATTCCATCTCTATATACATGTATATATTTGTTACCATATTTAATTTTTATTTTCTAATATAGTTATCCCTCATACAACATGGCACTTCTGCAACACAGTTGGAAAATTGAGGATAGCCCCCTACAACATAATTTCTGGTTTCGCTCTAACACAATTCAAGAATTTGGGAAATCCTACATAAAAAATTTCACAAGTGCTAACTCCATTATTCAATATTTCTTTATTCAAGTAACCATGCATGCTGTCTCAAATTTGCTCAACAATTTTGCAATATTTGATTTTTTTTAATTTTAATTGAAATTTTTAATTTCTTTTGCACCTTTCGTCAGGTTTACTTTAATGAAAACTAATAGTACAATTGTTTTCATCCTTGTCCTAGCTTTCCTATCAACATTAACCATATGTTGTTGTCATTGCTTTCAAACTTTAGCCTTTAAGAGTCATTATGTTTTGCTTTTATAGATTAATCTTTGTATTTAGTAAAGTTGATTTAAACACTTTTAGGTAAGTGTTATTAAGCTATTTTAAATAAAAATGTAGGTAAGCAATCATTTGTAAAAATGACAAACAAAATACAGTGGTATCCCAGTACTTAAACTGTTCTTGACTCCAACAATTTGATATTCAAACATAAATTCTAGAAAAAAAAATCACTCAGTGCTCGACTGAACAAACATGACTCGATAGAACAATTTTTGATTTATAGCAAATTTTTATTTTGTCATCCATAAAAACTTTTTATTATAAAAATTAAAAAACTGAAGATGGTGCTGATATTTCTGATCAAGATCAACAAAAAAGTTCAGAACACATCTAAAATGTCCTTCTTTAACTAGAATTAATATCAATGTATAACAAAGTACTTTTATTTGTGATTATGTTAATTACTGATGATTGAAAATAAATTATCAATTGTTTTAATAAACATATTTCTCTTAGTAATGAAAAGGAGTATACTTTCGCTAACTTCTGGAATGTAACTCTACATTTTGCATCAGTCTTTTGTTTTGTATAGCACAGATTTGCATAACATGGCACTTTTTCGGAACATAACTATGTTTTATACAAGGAATACCTGTACTGAAAAATTTAAACAAAATAGCAGACAGTTTTATTATATTGCTGCTAGTGTACTTACTAGATTCTTCCAGAAATACCAGTGGTTTGCCCATACTTAATAAGTTAGAAATGAAGTGCAAGACATTTCTAAATTTTATTCAAGACCAACATGTGCAGTATGCATTAGGCAAACTGGTGAAAGTTGATGTCAATGATTATTTCATTCTAATCACAAATAAGTTTTAAAAAAAAATCATTACATGATAACATTTACACAGAGCAATGGCTTAATCTATTTTTGGCCAAATTGTTTAATCTCTTGTTAATCATCAGAGGAACCTACATCATTAAAAAACAGGACTTTATAATAAAAATTATCTTGTGTGGTTTCATGATTATTTCAAAGTATGAACAACAGTGGAATTTACAGTGAAGTACTATCTCAAGAGAGTATGAAGCCACCATATTACAATTGTTTGTTTTATTAAGTTATGGCAATGCAACACTTGGACAATCTGCCTAGGGGGATGGCTTCCAGGAGGTCTTTTTAAGGGTAACTGGCCCTATTTGGGCATTACAGACACGGAGAAAACCCAGAAAACACCACGTGGCCAGCCAATTCTGGCGAGGCACAACCCCACAACCAAACTTCCACGGCCGATTGCAGAGACAGAGTTTACATTAAACGACGTTTACATTGGCTCTTACTTACTTCGCTATTACTCCCCTGTTTTAGGAGTCGTTCGGCCAATCGGATTATTTCTTCGTGACGTCAGAAATGGTCGTCAGCTATATTCCGAAAGCTTAAGGCCGTCAAAATCATTGTTCGGCAATTAATGACAATCCTTTTCTATTTCGTTATTTAATTTCGTTGCCAATACGATTTAAAATATGAACAAATCCATATTTAGAAAATTTATACCGAATTCGAAATTCGTCTTCGGAATAGATTTTTAAGGAATTATTTCGACATCTTATTACTGTCGAAATGAATAATTTTAAATATTTTATTATTAATATTACATTTTTTAATCTATAAACAGATTTCTGTAATTATTAAAATTGTCTCGTTTGTTTAACAGTACAACGACCCCGAAATGCATTAACGTTTTATAACCGACACGATACTCAAATTGTAAATAAATGCATCTGATTTAATTGTAGTTTTAAGTCTTCACCCATTTGAATATCGAAATTGGAACATTTAAAACAAATTTAAAGTATTTCATTTTGTTGTTTTTGTTCCGAGCAGTTAATTAATTAATGAGTAATTTTGTCGATTCGTACCGTTTACAACATTTATCAAAGAAACGATGTCTGTTTTTATCTAAACTTTTCCACAAACAAAGCTACCACTCGAATTGAAAAGCCCTCTAAACCTGCTGTCGAGTGAGTCTAGAAAATAGGTCAAATAAC